CTGTTGGTGGTTTAGGGTTTAGGGGTCAACATGTCTAGCAGAGTGGGCGGCATGCTGCAAATTTCATAGTCAGGCACTTACAAAGTATTCCGCAGCCTGCACAGGACATGGCCCTGCTGTCGAACAAACACCTCCATCCCTGATGCTCTTCATAGCCCTGTTGGAATCCGTAGAATCTAGAACTCTAGAACCCTGGCTTGTTAAGTGTTATTATTCTTCCCGAACGCTTCACCGCTATTGCCCCATTTGCTGAAAGCCCGATACCCTCAACCCAAACCAAGTTTAACGAGCGATTTGTTCAAATCCTAAACCCTGAAGACCCCCCCCCCCCCACGAAGGGTTACTGAATCCTGAGATTTTGAGGGCAGTTCGCTTTGCACTGCGTTTCGTGTGCATCAGTGTCTCATTGACTTCATTGTGGGAGATCAGAAGGATGATATGTTTTTGCAAATGTTGGGAAACGTACGGTTCGGCACCGTCAGCCGGTGTTGTGGGTTCTAGACCCTAAGGTGCTTGTTACGTGGGAAGTAGTAGATTGAACGTAGCACTGGCAAACATACCGAAAGTGCCACACCTGTCGTATAGGATTGAAGATCTACTGAAGCAACCCGTACACGACGGGTTGCTTCAGTAGATTCTCAAAGGTGGGAGGCAACAAAACGCTTGAAGCTAGATGACAAAACCCGCCAGCCTTAAGCATGACGTTGCCACCCCTCAAACTCCAACTTCCCGAGTCCGTCAACTCTCAAAAACTATCCCCGGAACCCTAAATTCTGCCAAAAGCCACATGGTATAGTTGCATCTTGAAGGTGCTGTATGCTAATGGTGCGAAAACGCCGATCTCTGTCGTCCTCTCTGATTAAACCCTAAACCCTGCAATACGGGCTCGTCCCAGCTCGCCTGGATTGTCCGAGTGTGAGCGTGGAAACCCTGAGAGCCGGACGCCTTAAAAGCCTGCCACCCATACACCCTAAACCCTAAACCCTACATGGAGTTTGTACAAGTTGGACACAAGAGACCTCGTCTGGCGGAGTCCGAGTTGCGAGAGCGTAAACCCTACATGGAGGCGCGGCTCTGCAAGGCTTCGAGCAGGTTCTCGAGAGATGTCGGCCGAAGGCGGCCGCATTGAAAGGGGCCCTAAATTAGGTTTTGGGGTTTAGGGTTTAGGGTTTAGGTGTGGTAGCAAAGAGCCCGGGTTCAAAAAAAAGGTGTGAGAGAGAGAGAGGGTTTTGGGTTGTTGAAATTTCAGGGTCGTGTTTATTTTGGAAGGGGTTTTGGGGGTTTGGTGGGTTTTTGGGTTTGATAGGGCTTACGGCCTAAGGCTAGGGAGGCTGGGTCGAAGGCTTGAGGGATGGATGCACTGATGTGAGGTGCGTGGAAATCACGATAGTCAGTCACTGTTTGAGACACATAGAGGCTTGCAAAAGCGAGGCCTAACGCGCACAAGCACTGACAAGGATTACATAACCCTAAACCCCTAAACCCTAAACCCCTAAACACTAAACCCTAAACTAAGAGCAATTGCACAATCATCCTGCCGCAGCGACGTTTGAAGATCCTCCTGGCGGTAGGTGCGTCCTAAACCGTTGTATCAGCCTGGGCAGATAGAAACCTTGACCATGGCCTTCACCGCCATCCTCCACAACGCCCCTCAGACTCCAATATCCCTCAATTAAGGAATATATATGTATATATATATATATGTATATCTATCCTTAAATCACATTAAGGATCCTACTATAAGTTTAAGGAATATTCCTTATTTAAAGGGATATTGGAGTCTCTGAGGAATATGAAACATTCGCATCAGGTGGATGCTGTGGCGAGCTGAGCTGCGGCCCCGAACCTGGTAAGTCCCGAGTCCCAAGGAAAAAGGGGTTTAGGGTTTAGGAGCGGTGCACACAATCCAAGCCCGTGCTGAAAAAGGAGCGGTCTAGGAGACTCTGTGCGAGCTTCCGACCTCATCCTGCCGCACCTGTTAGCCCTCGGAGTTGCTGATTTCGGGTAGTTTCCGGATTTCCGAGCTGGGTACAGGTGAGTGGCATTTTACGTCCAGGGGACTCGTTTTACAGAAACCTAGCATTCTGAAGTTTGCTGCTGGAGTGTAGGCTTTCCCAGGCCGCTCGCTCGGGAGACTCTCTTGCTGACAAACATGTTGCGTTAAAAAGCTCTAGTGGGGTTGCACCGGCACCTTTACCAAGCCTCTCAGTGACCCGGACCCACAGCCGCCGCGCGATGAAGGTTTAGTCGCATGTGTCCACCTGCATCGAGGGGAGAAGATGCAACGTACAATATGTAGATCTGATATGCGGTATATACTAGAGAACACGATGTAGACTCTAATAACTGTTTCTGGGCGCGCACCTCGGGCTGTCTTCTCTGTGCAATTTCTTGTCACTGTAAGAAGACTCAAATGAAGCTTCAGGGGACTGGTATCCACCCATGATCCCTGCATAATGATGCTGTAATGGGCCTCAAAACTTGTTCTACTCATTAAGGCCACCTACAGTCTCTGAGGAACCTGGAGCCCAAAACCCCCAATCTCTAAACCCTAAACCCTGAACCCCTAAACCCTAAAATTAAGGCCGCCTAGAGTCTCTGAGGCGATATGACCCAAGGCTTCTTTTGCTTGCCAGGAATGCTTCACAGCCTGACAGGTCGTGGAGTATACAAGGACACGAGCAGCTTTAAACACTACAGAAGCATCTCATGATACATGATGGGCAAGGAGCCAGGACTATCAAAGCACAATGTTTGACTTCCTTCGATTCGTGAAACCCCAAGCCCATATAATCAGCTCCCTCAAACGAGTGGCCCTGACCCAGCTGTTTCGGCTCCGGCAGCCTCAGACGAGCGAGGCGCGTGCAGGCACATGCCCTCCTTGCGCCGCACCTTGGCCTCGGTAGTTGCGGCTTGCGCTACGGACGCGGCATCCGCGCCTTGGTTCAAAGAGCAAGCACGCCCACAACGCCAGCAGAGCGCTGTTTCGTCGAAAGCTTACACCGGGTGCATGGTGTTGGTGAATGTCTTTTATGGCTCAAGATATCACCAGTATCACCGACTTCTTGTTCGGCTTTTTTGTCTAATTAGTCGGGAGACTGCAGAACTTCTTTGACGCTTGTCGTCTTGCGCCATGGTCGAATATGATCGAGCTACGCCACCCCGGCCTGTCGAAGACCGGCACTTGGGCGCGATTCTCCCTCCCTCATCCTTGCCATGCATGATGCCGGATGCAAGCACCGAACAGGGCGAGTTGGCTAGGCGTGGGGGAGACAAGCCTCTCAATGAAGAGGCAGTGGCGCAGGAGCAGGCTGCGGGTTCGCCTGGGTCAGAAGGTGTGACCAACCGAAAGCTGCTCAGTACCTCTGACAAGCTCGTCCTCTCCGAAGACGAGTGTGTCAGACATGTTATAGACTGTGAGCCTGCTCCACGCATGCGAGACTTTCGACGGCCATCCCAGGTCTTGCAGAAGCGTCTCTCGACATTGAGCGAGATGCGCTTGCACACAAACGAGGACCTGCTCTACAAGGCCACGGGGCTCTTTCAAGTCGGGGCATCACCATGTGAGATCAGCGCACCAAGTTGTACTGCAATTTGTTGGACAACCGTGACGGTGCCACTGTATATGACGATGGGGCTTGCGCCACCAGGTTGGGCCACTCATTGCTCGTGGTGTGTCTCCTTTGTTGCCATCCTGTTTACATTCGCATACATGGCCGTGTGCGTATACAAGGCCTTTGCAATCGCAGGCATTGAACAGTGGGCCTACTTCGTTCTTTTCATGGAGGTGTCATCCTTTCTGCTTGTACTCTGCGTGGTGAGCAGGAGTGCGAACTTCCGTAAGTTTATGCTGGAGAGAATCCCAGAGGTACAGGAGACGATAAATCCCGAGATGCGGTCCTCCGTAAAGTGGGACGTGCTGCCCGGTTTCATCTCCCTTGCCGTCTGGAGTCTCTGTCACATCTTGCGGGTGAAGTTGGCTCCAAATGAACAGGAATCGGCTTTGCTGATGGTGCCCTGCACCCCCGGGTTGTTCCGCGCAGCCTGGGCTTTTGGCCTCCTCCGGGTAAACCGCTTCTTGATCGGCTTGCTTGAGCGGTTTGGACAGTTGTATCCCTTCCAGTTGGAGGACTTAGACCTCGCATATGAGCGCTGGGCGTGTGTGGTTGCTTTCGCTCGCCAGGCTTCCCACTGGCACAGCATGATCTACCTCCACATGTCGATGTACTGGTTCCTCAGCCTTTTCCCACTCGTGGCGGCTGTGTTTCTGGATTCCCATGAGTCGTTCGGCATGGAGTGGTTGCTCCCACATACCCTTGCCAACTTGACAAGCTTTTGTCTCATAGCGTATGTCTTCCAACGTGCAGCAGCCGTGCACCAGAAGTGGGACGACATCGTCGCCTGTGTGAACAGCTTCCAGGGCATCGTGCCGCAGCATGCGCGAAGGGATCAAGATTTGTTTCTTAACCACAGGGTCAGAAGCGATATTGGCATTTACGCGTGCGGCACTTGTCTAAAGGCTTCTCTTCTCGCAAAACTGGCTTCCCTTCTCGTCACTGCAGGAAGCTTTCTTCTTGCCCGGCTCTTTAGCATGCCGATTGATCAGAAGATGCAGCTGAGCGAAAAATGGGATCAGATGCTGTCGAACTTCAGCATCTAGACTAGATAGACGAAGTTTCAGTGATACAAGTGAGTCGAAGTGCAGCAGCATGCTGTGGTGCACAAGTGTGACCCGCTCCGGAGCTTCGCTCCGTTTTTCCGATTGCTGCGTTTTGCAACTTCAGCATTTAGACTAGATAGACAAAGTTTCAGTAAGACAAGCGAGTCGAAGTGCAGCAGCTACTGCATGCTGTGGTGCACAAGTGTGACCCGCTCCGGAGCTTCGCTCCGCTTTTACGATTGCTTCGCTTTGCAGCTGCAACGGAGCTGTTGCTTTCTCGGGGAAGTTTCCAGGGCTGTGTATTCCTTCTGGGGAACCCTTGTAATCAAGAGCTTGCTAAACATAATAAAGTGTCGTTCAAACTTACAAAAACTCCCCTCAATCATTCTCTTCCCTTGGCACGGAGCGCACGGAGGTTGTCGAGCTATCGAGTCGACCTCCCGCCGAGTTAGACAATCAAGTTGTTGCGGATGCTTGCCTGGCTTGCCGAGAGTAAATGCGCGTTGCCATGTGGTTCTGCTGTTGTGGAGAGGTCTGTTCCGTCGTCTCGGCGTAGTTGCATAGTTTGGCATAGTTGTGGGATTTCAAGAAAGAGCACGGTAGCGGAATCATGCTCAGATTGATACTGACGGTGATGTTGGTGATCGTATAAAAGGGGACTCGGACAGGTCATGTTTCTTGTTGATCCTTCCGGATGCTATCAACTGTGCGACTGCGCTAGAAACTGCACGCTTCTGTGCTGATGGTACTGGTACTGACGATGATGGCCGCGATGGTGCTGTCTGTGTATCTTCTCATCGTTGCCTTCCGACTTGTTCGTCAATTGCGACAGTTACCACACGTTACCACTGCGACGGCGATGACAGTTACACCGACTTCTGCTGTTATCTTTATAATTACCGTCCCACTACGATTTTCACACTGGTGCGACGTTCGGCGTCTCAGCAGCCTGCTTGCTTGACACCGGTCGTGCTGCGAACATAGACAACATTAAGATCGCCAGGGTTCGAGGGTGACGACGACGACGGCCACCACCACCACCACCACCACCACCACCACCACCACCACCACCACCACCAATCACTGCTCCTGTTCTTGCTGCTTCAGCTGTCACTCGGACGTATCTCGTGGATATCTCGTGGGTGTGAGATATGCGCGAATGCACATAGACTCGCTTGCATGCAGCTGGCTAGTGGACATGGAATCAAATGCTGGCGTTCAGGTGGAGACTTATCTCGGAGGTCTGCAAAAAGCGGACGAGACCATCGCTGCTAGGCAGGCAGCGCTCCAGAGACACCCTCCAGTTACCCTCCTTCTACCTCTGAAGCCTCAGCTCAGAAGCATGTCGGGTGGCTCTGGGAGGCGCGGCTACACATTGTGTCTTGGTGCAATGCCGATGTCAGCATTGGCTGAAAGGAGCCGATGAGCGAGAGACTTGAAATAGGAACATGCCCGCATTCCCGAGAAGGAGAAGCAAGGCTCCTGATCAGGACACATGAAATTCAACATGCAGCCCCGGGAGGAGAGCCGACGTCTTGGCAGCACTGTGCAAAGAGGTCGGCACAGGGAGATTGACACGGGATCTGGTCTGTCCCAGAAAACTAGAGTCTAGAGTGTTCTGAAAATATCCGTGCGGTGTAACTGTGCCCGGCACCTCTGCCACTAGTAGCCAGACGTCAAGGTGCAGGGAGGAGCCCTTCCTGGTGGAAAGGATCAAGAGGACCGCTTTTTTGCGTCTGCCAGTCCGATCTGGTAGAATTCTGGTAGCGGAAGAATAATAAGAAGCGTGTCCAATTTGCATTGTGTACATGGTGCGATTCAGATTCTAGCTAAGCTTGTGAGGACCCGACAACGCGGCAGCCGGGCGCTGAGGGGCCTAAGCTGAAGGGACTTTCAGCTCCTCTTCCAGCCGCAGTTCATTGCACAGCCAAGGCTTCAGAAGCCACCACCCCCCAGTTGCAAATGAGCCGCCTTTCAGGTATGCCGTGCTCTCTTTGGGTTGCCTGTGCATCGGCGCGGCGCTGTCTTCGGAGGAGATATCGTTGCTGCTGTCTGCACTGGAGGCAAAGGGCCAGCGAGCTCTCCGTTCTTTCTCGGAGCTGCGCTGGGCGGGTTGCAGGCGGCCATGGGCGACTATGCCACGGACCGCCGGGGCGACGTCGGCTCCTGGGTCCGGGAGGCGGCCATGGAGGCGGCGTAGCGTCGTAACTGTGGCGCATCTGTCGAAGTAGCCATATCGCGTCGGTCAGGTGATCGTGGCCATCCTCGAGGCGCAGCGAATGCTGGCGCCCCAGGATTCTTTGCTGCGGCAACAGCGGGCGGGCAGCTTGTCGTCTGAGGCAGGATGCGCATCCTGCCCTGCCTGATGCAGCATGCACCACAAAGCTGGTGTCTCTGCTCTTGCAGCAGGCCTACTCTCAGATTAGTGAGATTGCTCTTGTCTGCACCATCAATGCAGCGAATCTTGGAGGCTGTGGAAAAAATCGACCGCTTGCGAGATCGAGCCTACGGTGGGTTGCTTACGTTACCGACAGCGGCATCAGAGAGTGCCAAGGGGGACCCCCCGCATTCGAACCCCAAATTAAAACCCGAGTTTGCGACCGAGACGGAGGCAGAGAACGCTCCCCGGGCTCCCCACCTGGTACACAGAAGAGAGAGAGAGAGAGAGAGATTCTGTTCTCCGGGGCAGAACACAGAGAGAGAGAGAGAGAGAGAAAGCAGGCGAGGCGCACTGAACTATCTTACTTTAGGCTTCGATGTTGTATTCTGTTTGCGCATCTTTCTTTCGCGAGCCGCCTCTGCCTTTATAGTGTATGCGGATCTCACCTCTCGCTCCCCACATGTCGGGGGCGCTAACGCGCGCGGGCGAGGGGGGCTTGCCCCTCTTGTCCCTAGCCCTGGCGAAAGAAAGAGAGCGAGAGCGAGAGCGAGAGCGAGAGAGAGAGAGGGACCGCGGGCAGAGGGACCGCGGGCAGCCCTATAGGATGATGAGGCCGGGAGTCACTCTCTTTAGTTCAGCATCGTATTATGAGGGTCAGCAGTTGTGGATCCGGGGGCCTCATAATTTTTCAGTACTATCAGACGAACAAGAACCGGCGCGCGCGCGCGCGGGGAGGGCAGGGTTCCGCCATGTTCCGCCTTTCCTTGGCTGTGATGAAGAAGAGGGACCGCGGTGGGAGGGGTCTTGCCTCTCACCCTCGCACTGGCGAAAGAAAGAGACAAAGAGGGGGAGCGTCAACCGTCCCCCATGCCCAGTGAAAGAAAAGGGGAGCGAGAGAGGTAGACCGTGAAACTCAACAGCCCACTTAAAGAGCCCCCGACAGTCCACTGGAGCCTTCGAAGACCCGAACTTGCAAAAAGGCGTCTGAACCTCCGACAGAACTCATGCCAGGCATGATTAGCAACGGACAAAAAACGTGTTACACTCGCATCAGTTCACAATGCAGCACTTCTTCCATTCTCAGGGCTCCTATGCTCTTTGCTCTGCGGCCGTCAACTTGGACTGGCTTACGCGAAGCGTCGGGTGGAATCCTCGGTCGTAAAGCAGCTGAATCTTGCCACGATCTCAAGCGTTCCACTAGCAGGTGCTGCATGGGGAGGCCTACGATGCGCTAGGGCTGGTATCGGCGGTGGAGGCCAGTACCTCCATGGTCTCACCATTCGGTGCTTGATGCTGGCACTGAACTGCACTTAGCTCTGAATGTTTCTGGCATTCAGGACAAAGGTGCTGGTCCAGCTCGAAAAGCCTGGCCGCCTGCACAGGCACGCTATTTTGAACCCAAGTCAAGCAGCTTCAACGTTCAATCTGCGTGTCATCACACGGCTGAGCTCGCGAGCATTGGCGAAGTGACTCGCACAAGCATGAGAGCATTTGCGAGCAAAGATGTGGTTTCTTTCGCTTTCAGGTGGAGCTGCTGTCAGGCTGCTTGCAGCCGTCCGAGCCTGCCGCGGCCCCAACAAAGAACCTGCTTCGGTGTAGTTGGTCCTCGAAGTGTCAAGCCGTACTCCAGATCGCACCTAGGTGAAGTCGGAGATCGCAGGAGCGGGCAAGCCGGAGGCGAGATGACATGGCCAGGAACAGCCCGTGATAACCCACACCCCTCGGTAACTTCCATGGGTGGGTCATCGACAGACAGTGCCACAATGCCTTCAACGAGCCCCGGATGCTGCAAAAGTGATGAGGTAAATAAAGGCTTCGAGGCACCTTTGTTGTTTTCACCGCCAGGCAGACCGGACCGCTGTTTTCGACGCGCTGACGCCGTTGCTCTCAGCCGAGGAGTGATACTGCAGGTACTTGGCAAGTGGGCGGCAACGTTGTAGACGACCCATGTGAGAGGAAGATTGAGCAGCCGGAATTTGAACCTTGCTGGTGTCAGAGTGAAACCTCCTTCCCTCACACACTTCTTGGTGCCGTTCTTCTGCGGCGCATCGACCTTTGCGTGGTCGATCTTGTTGACAAATCACGCTCCATGGATGGCGATGTGATCAGGAGTATCGGTCCTCGCTGCTCCTCGGCTTGGTCGTGTCTGTTGGTGGAATCACCGAGCACACGGCCAAGGACAGGTTGAAAGGTAAAGCATGCTGGAAGTTGGAGATGCCGGGTGCGCGCCATTCAAGCAAGTAGCCTGGAATGGACTACACATGAAGTCATGAGATGCTCTGTGCAGGAAGCCAAGCGAGCTCTCTTGCGGCATCTGGCTTCAGAGACGGCTCAGCAGCAGGTGCCGACCGGTACTCTAAAACCGGTGCATGCAATGCACCATCATTGTGGGCTGAGTTGGGACACAGCGACAGCTTCCGGTAGGGGCTGCCTACAGTACTGGCGGTGCTTGCAGCCCATACCTCTACGCGCAGTAACAAGCCTCTCTGATCTGTCTTCTCGGGGCTAACTCAGAAGATGTTCTTTCACAACGGGTATGATAGCAGAGTCACGGCGCCAAGAACAGAGCAAACCGGGACAGCTCATGATCTCATGTTTAGCAGGAAGAACTCACAGGACG